TTTGAACCTGGATGAAGGAGCGGCTATAGCCTGTTCCAAATAACCGTGCCTTTGCCGAGTCCAGCTCAGCTCAGCAGGCTCGAAAAGAACTAGAATTTCTCATGGACGCAGTACCAAGACGATTTGAGTGCTCAGCAGCACGTGTCTTACTTTCCTGGTGAAGCACATACAGTTCGTCGTGGACGATTGTAATGCAAGGCCTACAGTCAAGTGCTATCAGAAAAGCAGAGTATTGTGGCCAACCATTTGTCCCCATGCAACCTCAGGAGAAGAAGACAGCGCAAGCAGAGGATGTAGAGCGGCAAAATATCTTCTGACCACGTTTTTTCAGAATTTCCGCAAATGGGAGGGATCTCGATCCGAGATCGTCTCCCTGGAACTGGACGTGACCTGTTTCAGATGAAGACATTTTTCATAGAGTGGAAGCAGTGACAGCTTGTCTGTAGGCAGGAATACCACATCCCGTGATATGCTTCCAGCATCCAAATAATCACCAGCAATAATGGTTGCACCTCTCACTACATGGATAAGCAAGGGAAAAGATTTGATACACCCACTATTCAGCCACAGCCCTGCATCAAAGTTGCAATGGAGAGCAGCCAATGGAGACGCGATCATGTCTTATAGTGCTGAGAAGTGGTGGAGCTCGTGAGAGATATTGTAGCAGCTTCAGAGGCAGATCGACTAAACGCATCCTTTCCTGGAAGTTTGACAATGTGCAGCATTTTGTTCTTAACATTATAGCCCTTGTTGAAGCATTATAATCAGCATTACAAGGTAGTTTCCGTAAAACTCTCAGACTCCATTGCAGCGTAGTTTTCACATCGGAAAATATCTCCATTGCACACCATACATAACAGGCTCTCAGCTGCATCGAATAGATTTACTTATGCCAATATTTCGCCCATTGGGCATCATCAGGGCATTCATGCAAAAGAAGAGGCAAGCGCCAACATAATATACTCAGCAGAGGGAAAATACTAGAGACATTCACACTTACAAAAAGTGTAGAACCAACACCCTGAAATTCACGTATTAAGTCCACACATTTGGTAGCGCTATACATAATGTAGATATTCAAGAAGTATTGGATTTACTTGTAATGTAAATTTCATACAGAGGGTGTGAAACCACACGTAAGAGAGCCATAGAACAGTGAATGTATAGAGATAGCGTAAAGTGTAAGTGTAAGTGGACAAGTCCGGTGGTAGTTCAGTAGGTTTCAGGTGATAGGTCGCAGTGCTGAGTGGTAATCCAGTGACTTTGCCATGATTCAATTGCTGGAGGCCATCGCGATCAGGAATCGCAAGGCAGTGACAGCTTGTCTGTAGGCGCCATCCGTCATCGCAGTTAACTGCTGCCTTGCGATTCCTGATCTCGATGGCCTCCAGCAATTTCCTGGATTGTAGCAGTTAACTGTGATGACGGATGACGCCTAATTGACTGAATCACGGCAAAGTCAATGGATTACCACTCAGCACTGCCGCGTATCACCTGAAACCTACTGAACTACCACCGGACTTGTCCACTTACACTTACACTTTACGCTATCACTATACATTCACTGTTCTATGGCTCTCTTACGTGTGGTTTCACACCCTCTGTATGAAATTTACATTACAAGTAAATCCAATACTTCTTGAATATCTACCGTATAGCGCTACCAAATGTGTGGACTTAATACGTGAATTTCAGGGTGTTGGTTCTACACTTTTTGTAGGTGTGAATGTCTCTAGTATTTTCCCTCTGCTGAGTATATTGTGTTGGCGCTTGCCTCTTCTTTTGCATGGATGCCCTGATGATGCCGAATGGGCGAAATATTGGCATAAGTAAATCTATTCGATGTAGGCCTTGGCGGATAATGCTTGCAGATTCTGCTCGAAAAGCAGTGAAATTGGCAGAACCATACAAACCTTATGGCGGGCAATTCCTCGAATTCTGCTCCATTTCTTTATCCACATACCAAACATGCATGAAACTTACCAGAAAGAGTACCGAATTCTGCCAATTTTTCTGCCGGCATTATCCGCCAAGGCCTAATTCGATGCAGCTGAGAGCCTGTAATGTACGGTGTGCAATGGAGATATTTCCCGATATTACAAGGTAGTTTTTGGAGAATTATGATTAGCATTATACGAGCATTTTCGGAGCATTATCCGCTGGACCCTAACTGGTCCAACATCACTGATCAGGTGCCTTGTACACAATTGTGTAGCCTACATACTAGAACGGTGGTACAATCATGTAGTTCTGCTCCTACCTCCGAAAGGATGCCAAATTATGCTTCAAATTTTCAACCACCAGGTCATGCCAATAATTATGCCGGCATAATCCGCCGGTGCTTATCCAGAGGGTCCCAACCTGGGTTTTCCCAATACGGTTCAAATCAGGGAGTCGTAAAATACCGGTATTTTACGACTCCCTGATTCAAATGATCGCAAAACCGGGACTCTGCCAACCGGGTTATGGTTGTAGTCTGGAGCACTATGCGTCCTCGCCTACGTGTTGGCGGATAATGCTCGGTAATATGGGGTATAATGCTCTCAGTAATGCTCCACAAAAGGCCATATAATGCTCCAAATAATGCTGATAATGCTCCTCCGGATGGAATGTAAACTGCTGAACCTTGCGGTATCGGGCTAAGAAAAACGCTATAATATTGCACCCATGCTATGCAACATAGAACGAACAATCTGGATCCGCCGCAGAGACTCAGCTGAACTAACGGCCTTAGTAAGACCGGTGCCGGCTAGAGCCTTCCCAAGTCGTTTCTGATACGCCAAGAAGGACTCCTTGACCAGCTTCTGCCTCTGAGTTTCCCTCTCCAAACGGGACTTTCCTTGTTTGTGTCTCGCGGTAGCAATATGGGACATGATTATACTCTTCTTCCCTGACAATGTTGTATGGCATGCCAGGCACACTAACTTGCCACAGTCGCTTTTGAGCGGCTCCCGCACCCGTGTTTCGGCACTGATGGCCACTTCAGTGCTCTGTCCATGAGCTACTCGCGTCCTTTTGGAAACATTTCCAGACTTGGTAATAGCTGTTTTCTGAAAAGGCCGCTTCCTCGCTATCGCAGCAGGATCTGAAGTTTCCAGCTCGACGACGTCACTATCATCAGAGGACTCCGCCAAAAGCTCATCTGGAGAAAGCCCAGCTTCCTCCCAATCCCAAGAACGGCATCGCGGCGAGTCAGCCATCAGCGTTGGCTGCTAGTTAGCTGGTCTTACACAATGGTCAATGTCCGGTGAACGTCCAGCGTTACTCTTCGACAAAGACATGGACTCTTGCTTCGATGAAAAATGTTTTTTGTAACATTGTGGACGGTAACCGGGTAAGGTCTGGAATGTGTGCGTGTGCGCACCTCCACCGTTCCATGCTGGCTCACATTTGTTTCGTTGGTTCGGCGTTGTTACCTAGTGTACCTGGATCTTCAAAAAGTGTTAGTTGCTGGCCGAAGATAGACTTCCGGGATCGGAAGTTTCTGCGAGAGTTTCCACACTGTGCTGGACCACAGCTAGCTAGCACTATTGCATGCAGTATACTGGGCCTGGCACTGCGTGCCACGATCTGTTTGGTACCATGCATGGTGTGTGCGGTGGTCTATCGCTTGTACTACTTCGCATAGTAATAATGTTGCCAATCAAAGACCAACGCTATAGCCGATACGAATCTGTACATGAGCATGCGTGTAGATCTACTATGCAGTCATGTAGAACGTCGTATAATGCCATTTTTAGCCTCGTAATGCTTTATAATGCTCGTAATGCTCCGGGTGGTGTATAATGCTCGATATAATGCCGGCATTATCCGCCAGCACCTATCCTCGCCTTGTAACATGCTGTCAAAATCGAAAACATGATTGTTATATTAGTACTGTACTGAATTATTTGTAGTGACAGTAGCGTCGTAGCTACATATACATTAGGGGTGAAACGGTTCGGGTAAGGAACCGGTTTTGGAACCGTCAGCTGAAAAGAATCGGGTACCCGTTCCGTCAAATTTCGAACCGAAACTCGAAAAATCTCGTTCTCGTACAAATACATGTACACGCCAAGTCTACTCAAGATTTTAAAATGTCTTACCTTACGATCATCGCCCTTCCAAAGGGTTCTCCTATCGATCCTGGTCACTACGAGCGTACCTTCTTCGCACATGGACTCTCCGATGTCTCGTTCTTGCTCGTAAAAATGTTTTCTAACTTGAAAATAATTGTCACGGACACATTTGGTCGGTCTGGAGAAAAGAGTGCATGGAACCGATACCCGAACCGTGGGAAACTATGCTGGCATTCGGGTACCCGAACATGAAAAATATGGAACCGTTTCACCCCTAATATACATGTACCTCGCCCGTAACCATGGTAACAGTATTTTGTAGACGACGCGTCCATTACCATGACTACGGATAGGACTGTATAATTCGATTGAAGTCCATCTGTCAACCATGAAGTCCATCTGTCAACAATATTTTAAAGATCAACGATCTGAGTGTCACTATCGACATGTCATCGCACGCAGAGCTGAGTGCTAGTCCGAGTAGTCGGACACAGTGACAGAGCTAGAGTGCCAACTGCCAGCAAGCATGGTACCGCGCATAGACTTCAAACAAGAGTCGGGCGAGACTCGAGTCATGACATGAGTCAAGGCTGCCAGTGTCCATGGTGACTGGTGTCAACCACTGGACCAGGGGCAGGGTCATCGCAACTCATTCAACCACATACTGTGACATAGACAAAATCCAGCACGCCAGTAGATCTACACAGTAGACCATGGTAGACTACAGTCATGATGTAGATCTACGACGCTCGTCGACCAGGTCGACAGTCGCGAAGCTCCGAAGGCTGTTCTCATGCCGTCATGGTCGACTAGAGCCTAGTACTAGTAGTAGTAGTACTAGTAGTAGAGATGGTACAACTACCATGACCATGATGACCACACTCTGCACCGGTGCGGCTAACAGTATTCAGTACAGCGATCTCGTGCCAACAAACCCATTGCCGATGATTGGGTGATTGGCACTGCTTTTCTGCCTGAACTTCGCTGAAGATTCCGGCGAAGAGACCTCATTATCATTTGTACCTTGCGAAAGAGATTATTTGATAGGGCGACGATTGCAGTTGGCAAGATGTGATAGACAAGACGCGAGTGAAGAAATCTAATCGTCGAGCTGCTCGTCGTCAGACTAGACCATGTCCGATCCGAAAGCGGGTGGTGCTGGCGGAATCCGCCCCACCACCCGCAAGCATGCCCGTCGTAGTGGTGCAGATGGCGGCATGATCAAGCAGCGCAAGAGCCATGTGTTCGTTGGCGGGGCAGCCGATGCACAGAAGCAGGCACAGGTGAGAAAGAGAGAAGGTGAAAAAGCTACAGAGCCAGAGCGGCAGCATAACACCGTGATGATGTGCCGCTGGTAAATCAGCAGGTTACTTCAAATAATAATTATCCGATAATACTTCAAATAATAATTATCCGATAATTTGAGAGAATTGAAAAGGTAGAAGTATGAGGAAGAAAGGGACTGTGAACATGAGAACTCGAACCACCTTTTTACTTCAAATGCTATTAGTACTTTTACACGGCACAACCACGCATACGCACCCTAATCTGAGATTCCAAGTAATGATATTTTGTTTCCTTGCGATGTTGTTGGTGTTAGGCACAGTGACAGCCTTGCAGTCTTAGGCAAGTTTCCAAACCCTACCAGTCGAGTATGAATAGGGCTTGAAAGTGCTACGTCACAGCATAGCAACAATTTCAAAAATTCAAAAATTGGACCCACTTGGATCCAGTTTTTGTATGGATCCAAGCACATTTAAAGCCGTCTTACTCACAGCAAGGTGATGTAACCAGTGAAACTGACTGATTTGGCTAGTGGGCCATGGGGGCGGGGTTACAACTGGTGGCGAAGTAAAAGTCACCCCTGCATACGACATGAGTGGGTTGCTATGCACCCACATACTGAATAGCAAAGCCACACCTTAGTGGATCCAAAATAGAAATCTGATGTCAACTTACTACTCCCTGGCCGTTTTTGACGTCATCACTTTCAAGCCCTATAGTCGGGAACACTTCAAGCCACAGCTTGCCTACTGTTCATGTGATTTGCCATATACGTGCAGTGCTGCTCAATGAAATCCAGTTGTGTCACTCGAGGTTGCGTCCTGCACCATTTCGCAGCCCAGTGTCTGCAGATCTCGGGCTGCGGAACGCCCGGCGCGTACTTGAGTGATACGACTGGATTTCAGTGAGCAGCACCGTACTTGGGAGTAATCTTCCATGATATTGCATGACTAGAATTGGACTCCGGATGTAATCCATCGCGTTGCAATCGTCTCCACTGGGCTTGTTACTGCTGCTTCCTTGAACAGGCTAGAGCGCGGGAGGCGAAAGAGGCACAGAGAGCGCGCATGGACGGCAGGCACACGTTTATCCTGGAAACCGTAGCCAGTCGGCTGCAGATCGAACAGTCGCAAGTCGAAGACTACATACTTGACGGCCAGCGAGTAAGAATCCGAGAGAGAGAGAGAGAGAGAGAGAGAGAGAGAGAGAGAGGGGGGGGGGGAGGGGGAGGGAGGGAGGGAGGGGAGGGAGGGAGAGAGGGGAGGGGGGGGGGGAGGGGGAGGGAGAGAGAAAGAGAGTGATTGATCTGGAAAGTGTAATCTGGATATTGTCTTCAAGCTTTTGTCTCTCTCTCTCTAAGTGCCTGATGGTACCGCTGCTCACATTACTCTCCATCTCCATGTCGGGTGACGCACTGGGGGGGGGGGGGGGGGGTCAACAAACGCACGTGAAGAAATACGGCAGAGTTTCCCTCCCTCCTTATTTTGCGGAATGGTTCTGACTCGGGTTAAAGAGCACTTTTCAATAGAGCACGTTTCAAGCAGTGGAGCACTCTACATAAGTTCATTCATAAGAGTAATTGAGTATTATTTTTGGTTACTTTCCTGTGCAGTTTTGTTAGCTTTGTAGTATTGTGTCATGGTGGTGGTGCATTCCATTCTTGACTATGGCAGTGCCTTTTGTGTTCGCTGTTTGAACCTCCAACACAACCCTGCCAAATGAGCTATAGTCAGGGAATTCGGAAAGCATTTTCAGGTGGCATGGTCAGCCACCTGAAGTACAGTTTACTCCTGGGTGCTGTGAAAATGTTCGAAACTTCGATTGTAAATCAGTGCCATGTATTGATTCACGGGGTACCGGGAAAAAATAGTTGTACGGTCAATACCGTAGTGACAGTAGCGTGTCCGACGCCCCTGTGTGTGGAAGGATGGAATTGAAGCAGGAGAGAGGAAAGGTAACGAATAGGTGTAGCCACACAAGGTGGAAGCAGGAGAGAGAGCGAAGGCAACTTATAAGTGTAGCCACACAAGGTGTTTATGGCACTGGGTCAGATCGACATCAGCCAGCTTACCATGACAGCACCCTTTCCTGATGGTCCCGGCAGGTGAAATCAACCATGGCCCAGAGCTAGTCGGGAATGTGGAGTGGTGTACCTCCAATCAACCATGGCCCAGAGCTAGTCGGGAGTGTGGAGTGGCGTACCTCCAATCAACCATGACCCAGAGCTAGTCGGGAGTGTGGAGTGGCGTACCTCCAATCAACCATGGCCCAGAGCTAGTCGGGAGTGTGGAGTGGCGTACCTCCAATGAACCTTGGCCCAGAGCTAGTCGGGAGTGTGGAGTGGCGTACCTTCAATCAACCATGGTGCAGAGCTAGTCGGGAGTGTGGAGTGGCGTACCTCCAATGAACCTTGACCCAGAGCTAGTCGGGAGTGTGGAGTGGCGTACCTCCATTGATATTGTTTGCATATCACCTAAATTAAATGAACATACTCCGGATACGTGGAGGAGAACATAAATTTACAACTTTTAGGTCTTTGCTTTCATGTTTGTGCTACCAGTTTTGACTGCCTCTCTCCTTGTATGCCTGTGTATATATTACACCAGCAACTGGACAAGTTTGAAGAGTTCTTCAACGCCAGTGGCCTGCGAAGACTGCTGTTTTACTGTTCCAAATGTCCAGCGGAGGACGGAGAAGCTGGTAAGTGTAGCGTCGGTTGTGTGCACATATTGTGTGTGTATGTGTGTGTGTGTATGTGTGTGTATGTGTGTATGTGTGTGTGTGTGTGTGTGTCTCTCTCTCTCTCTCTCTCTCTCTCTCTCTGCTGCCCCTCCGGGGCCCACGTGACCCTAGTGGTAGTGGCTCTACAGGACAGGACAGGTGTGTGTGTGTGTATGTTCGCGCGGCCCGCGCGCTGAGTATGGCGTTCCCCGCCCGGTGGACAGCACGTCTCCTGGTCTGCCCCGTATGGGGCCACATAACCAGTCATGGCAGTGGAAGAAGGAAGGAGAAGGTGTGTGTGTGTGTGTGGATTCACTGGCCTCTTAATAGCTGTGTGGTGTAGACCAGGCTAAAGATTGGCGGTCAATTCTTCAACATTGCAAGCTGTTGAATGGTGCAATCCCAAGCACAAGTTGCTATGGCTTCTGCCGTAGCATCGCTATCATCGCCACCGGCGACGGGCGTCAAAAGGTCAAACAGTGTAGATGTGCACATGATATTACACAGCAGAATGAGATGCTATGTACGGATCCTTTGATAACTGGCAGACAGCAAAGCATTGGACCAACAGTCATCGTACTCTCAATCTACAGGCTAACACATCTGAATTTATGCTGCTGCAGCTGGGTATCAAACTGTGGGCGATAATAGTAGCCACGACCGCCTATCGGGTCATTGCTCATTGTCTCTCCGCGTATCTCTGTGTCAATGTGAATTGTTCCGAAGGCAAGAAAGTCATCAAACAGCTCTTTGTGACGGACGGTACGGTAGAGGCATTTAGCGGCACATGTGTGATGTGTATTCGCACGACGACCAAAGCTCTCACCACAGCTAACATCGGAGCGGTAAGGAATGCACTTTACTTTCTACTCTTTGTGTTTCCCTGCTTTCTTTTGCCTATTCATTCTCAACAGCCCATATTCGGAGTGCAACCAACCAGTCACTCTGACTTCTGTGTAAGAGGTCTCTGGCCTGGGGTTACGGAGGTATTGAGCACCGTCTGAGCAGTGGAAATCGCAGGCATTGAGCACTGGTTGAGCAGTGGAAGTCCAGGCATTCTGCACTGGTTGAGCAGTGGAAATCACGGGTATTGAGCACTGGTTGAGCAGTGGAAATCACGGGCATTGAGCACTGGTTGAGCACTGAACAACCAAGTATTGAGCACTGTGTGAGCACTGAACAACCAAGTATTGAGCACTGTGTGAGCACTGAACAACCAAGTATTGAGCACTGTGTGAGCACTGAACAACCAAGTATTGAGCACTGTGTAAGTACAGAGAAACCTGTCTAAGACGACCGCTCAAGGGACCTTCAAGATGTGATCTCTGCTACCAGGTGGTTTCCTTATCCAGGGTCAATTTGCTGGAAATAGCATCCTTTGGTCCTGGTTCCAGTGGTCTTTTGGGACAGGTGGTCGCCTTATCGGAGTGGTCGTGTTGACAGGTTTTACTGTAGTGGCAATCCAAGTTTTGAGCACAAGTTGTTCCGTACGGAGTCACATCAAAAGCACAAGTTAGGAGTTCACGCAGCACATAAATGTATTATAATGATGTAATTATGACGATGTAACTAGCATCTTTCATGCGTGTGTTGATGCACAGGAGATTAACTTTGCCACTCTAGAGACGGGTGACTCCGGCACGATGTTGACGGCCATGGAGGCGATGCTATCCGATATTTTCATCCCCGCGCTAAAGGACCAGTCTAGCTGGGGACAGCTGCAAAGCGGTGGGCAGGAGCACGTTGGCTTCATGTCTAAGCTGGACGCTTTCGTCAGTACTCTGCAGGTAATAGGGAAATGTGTGTGTGTGTGTGTGTGTGTGTGTGTGTGTGTGTGTGTGTGTATGCATGTGTGCTTGCGTGCGTGTGTGTGTGTGTGTGTGTGTGTGTGTGTGTGTGTGTGTGTGTGTGTGTGTGTGTGTGTGTGTGTGTGTGTGTGTGTGCGAGCGCTAGTCACATCACTTCTGGCAGGTGCCCTTACCCATTGCTAGCCATTATTATTGATATCAGTGTATTATGAATTGTATTGCAAAACACGGATGGCGTTCAGGTCAGGTTGTGGCTCCCATGCTTTACCTTGCGGATAGTCTCTGATCTACTCTCAGTGAACCGTAATAATGTATTCTGTGATAGTATAGATCATGGTACGAACACACTGCCATACTCAATCTTGTTCGTGATGAATTTTCGGAATGCCCATCTGCAATCAGGGGGTTCTAGCCAGGTCATAATAGCCGGGGTGGGGGGCATGGGAAACACATTTACCCCGAAACCCATTTTCCATGTTCCAAAATTGTCTTGCCATATGCAAAATGCCACGTACGGGGCGAACACCTGACTTCACCCCAGACAAATGTGCCTTTATGAACCCTCTAGTAGTGACTATCGACTGCATCTTCTTAATATGGCCTGAAAAAAGACAAAAATCGGAAATTAGTAGGGGGGGGGGCACTTTTTCACAGGGTGGCACACACACAGAGTAGGGGGCGCTGCCCCCCCCCCCCCTTCCACCCCCTTTGGCTAGAACCCTGAGCAATATAGAGCAACTTACAGTGCTTTCCGCCTGCATCTTGTGTATGGTCATCTCAGGGAGCGGAGAAGAGTTTGAAAGACACCGTCAAGCTATCCGAGTGCAAAGATGTGGATCTGTCGATGTTCACATCACCGATGGATTTCCTGACAGCCGCTAACAATCCCGAGATCATTGAACCGCTGGAAAAGTGCATGGCGAAATGGTGCAAGGAGATTGAGCAGGTAAAGAACTCAAGTGGACGCCACGCCAAGCATGTTTAACCCTTTATTAACGGCCTGCAGACTTTCGACCATATATGGTCGAAAGTCTGTAGGCCAGTAATATCTTCGTAACTCCATCATATCTTGTGCGAATTCAACAATCGAAAGGTCTATTTGGTAGCAGAAACTCCAAGCTATCCAATGCAACAATCGCCGAAGAGTTACGATGTCGGACGCCAGAGATATCGCGCGCCGTATTCTCATCTCGGCAAATTCAAATTTTTGATCGATCACTTCGCCATTTTTGGGGAAAATCCCTTTTCGTGTGCTCTTTGAGCGACTAAGCACATGATAATGACGTAGTCGGCTGAAGTTTGAATCGTCTCAAACAAATTTGAGCGTTCTGCGATGAAGGAGAGTGGAATGGCGTTGATGGGACGAATTTGCTTGCATATCAGGCTTGGAGACGACTTTGCTAATGGAGCTTGGTACCCTGGCGTTGCTCTCGCCAAGAGCTTTCCAACGAGCCCTAGATTGTGAAAATCAAGTGAAGGAGACCAAAGTTATGACCTGGTGAAGTTGGAAATTGTGCTGAAATTCGTAATTCTGGTGCATGCTGTGCAAATAATCCGGTAATAAAGGGTTAAGTTACAGTGCAGGGGACGAGTGTGTTCGTGACCATCCTTGCTGAATGGCTGTTGCCTCGAAATGGGAGGCCGCCGTTCTCCACTTTGCTCATGTCATTGTCAACTCAGATCCTGTAGGTGCTCTTAGCCTGCTGGTGTATTGCAACTGGTTATTCGGTTGAACACAACGAACAGGGCCCACGCAAGTATCAAGCTGGGTTTGGGAGCAGCGGTGTTGGCCGTGTGAAGAGGTTTGATCACATGACCCATCCACGACTTATTTTAGTGTGCAAGTGACAGGTCACATGATGTGTACTGGGCAAATACAGGTCACATGATGTGTGTCGGACAAATGCAGGTCACATGATGTGTGTCGGGCAAATACAGGTCACATGATGTGTGTCGGGCAAATACAGGTCACATGATGTGCACTGGGCAAGGACAGGTCACATGATGTGTGTCGGGCAAAGACAGATCACATGATGTGTACTGGGCAAGGACAGGTCACATGATGTGTACTGGGCAAAGACAGGTCACATGATGTGCAATGGGCAAAGACAGGTCAGATGTGATAAGTAGGCGCAGGCATTGTGAACCACCTTGTCACCAGCGATTAATCTGTGTATGGTTTTGGGCTGTGTTCGGGTAGGGTTTAGATCAGCAACATCTGACTGAGGTACAGCAGCTCAGCCAGTTTTGATTTCATTGTAATACTCCATGATGAAGGTCCAGGGGCGAAAATTTGGAGGGTAATTTGATTGCTATTGCTGCACAGTGCTTGGTTGTGAAGGTGAAAGATCATCAAAAACAAAAAATCATCAAATCATCAAAAACATCTGACTTACACTTCATATCTCTCCTGTTCGCAGGTACTGACAGAGAGCGAGCAGATGCGAAAGGAAGCGGACAATGTCGGGCCCAGCGTGGAGCTCGACCACTGGAAGCAGCGCACTGCCAAGTTCAACTCACTGCTCGACTGTATCAACAGTCCGTCATGCCGAGCCGTCATCGGTATCCTGACTGCCACCAAGTCTAAACTCATCAAGGTCTGCTGGAATTTATCACAAGCTGATCTTTGTCATAGGCATTATGTAACCATGGTAGCGGTCTAACGCAAGTAGCTGGAACAGTTTACTGTGATCTGTCTACCAGAAAACCGTCATGCCATCAAGTGTCTAATTGCACACCATCTGCGTGTACACCATATACCAATCATGCACCCTGCTTGCTGAATACTGCACAGCATGTCCACACATGAACACATCTTGCTGCCAAGCGTTGTTGGAAACCAAACTGAGAACCAGATCTAGGGGCTGAAGCCAGTGGCTTTGAAAAACAATTTCCAATTTGCTGTTGCTGCTGTGACGGCATTAATATTTGTCACTTATGCCAGTATGATGTTGGGACATGTAAGCCTGCACCATTCTGAAGGTTCTCCAGCAAAATCACTTGTGTCTTTACCTGTGCAGCAATGGCGGCAACTGGATGTGCGCATCACGGATGGCGCTAACGAAGCCAAGGACAACGTGAAGTTCCTTTACACGCTGGACAAGTATTGTGATCCGCTGTATAATGGAGATCCGGTAAGAACCACCAATGTATCTGATACACGTGTGTGTATGCATGCCTGCACACACACACACACCTTGAACCATGAACTTGCCCACTGAAGGCAATGATAGCGAAAGGACTAATTCGGCCTCAATCGACAGAAAGGTTCATGGCGCTTGAGGTCGCCGGGGCGGCCACAAGTCTTCCCTCATGCACAAAGGTATTCTGGCTCGGTAGAGACATCACGAGGCTGTGAACGACAGTAGATAACCTCCCTCCATTCCGAGCAGTTCTGGGCAGTGTCGAGCCATTCCTTCACACACACACGCACACACAAACAAACACACACACGGGCGCGCTCGCGAGCACGCACCATACCACAAACGTCCCGTAAACCGACTTATGTTTGAACTTACCTGTGAGCATCTCTTGCGGTGTGCGTGGGCGGAGATTCCTCAAGACTAGGGTGCCCATAGTCACATGATATTGACAGCTTGTAAGGTACATGTAATAGTAATTACCAACCACACAACAAGCCGACCTGTTTGGGAGCTATTACGCGTTGTATTATCAGGAGATAGGCAACAATGCCGCATACAATATGCAATATTCTGGTCCAATGCCGGAGCTAGTATTGCAAGCACCGATCTGCGTTAGTATGGCCAATGCCGACAATAACTGGGGCAACAATTGCCCGGCGAGAATTCAGACGTGTCAATACACGAGCATGCAGTAGGGATTCACTTGTGGGCGAATGTAGGCGCACTTGGCTCAATGCCGGCCTGACCCACGATCCCTACTGTTCTCCCTTACGGGATGGCTTAAAGGATGCACTTGTGAGCGAATATAAGCGCACTTGGCTCAATGCCGGCCTGACTCACGATCCTTGCTGTTCTCCCTTTCGGGATGGTTTCGAATGGAATGCTAGTGAGAGATGATGGGGTGGGTGGTGGTGATCAGAAACTCGCCGCGATTGTCAAACAATTTGACCGTCAGCGCAGCAAAGCAAAGAGCAAGAAACAACAGCATGGAGAATTAGAGTAATGCGCATGCTCCGCACAGTCCCGTGCGGAAGCGCGGGAATTCGGAGTGCATGCATGTTATGCATGTACAAGTGTTGCTTATGGCACGGATGTTGGTGTGTTGCTAACTCCACTTACCGTGCCATGCACGGAAACTTATATTTACGAATGTAACTGTAAACATGACTCGTCCTGTTCCTTGATGTCTAGTGCTGCTAGTGCAGACTGTATCAATTTACTCCTGAGTTGCAGGCTCTGTCATAGGCTGTATACTTCTTTGCGTTAAGGCTACATAGAGAACCTTTTCGATTGAAACATGCTGACTAGGACAAAATCAAAAGTTGCTCATCACCGTTCAACCATCGTCCGCTATCGTAGCTTGAGAGAGAGAGAGAGAGAGAAAGAGAGAGAGAGAGAGAGAGAGAGAGAGAGAAAGAGAGAGAGAGAGAGAGAGCGAGAGGGAGAGAGAGAGAGAGAGAGAGAGAGAGAGAGAGAGAGAGAGAGAGAGAGAGAGAGAGAGAGAGAGAGAGAGAGAGGGAGAGAGAGAGAGAGGGAGAGAGAGAGAGGGAGAGAGAGAGAGGAGAGAGAGGAAAGAGAGAGAGAGAGAGAGTTAGAAAGAGACGAGTGTAGTTTTTGTCTCCCTCGCCGTGATATAAGTACTTCTGAGACTATCAATGACCCAATGGTTGTCACGGTTACCAATATGAGCAATGTATGGTGAATGCTTCTACCTGTACCAACTCTAAATTTGGTTCTTTCAATGCTTAGGTGAACATGGTGGCGGCCATTCCTGGCTTGCTGAATGCCATTCGTATGGTCAACAGTTACTCTCGCTTCTACAACACACCCGAGAGGATCACAGCACTGTTTATCAAGGTTAGTATGGTAGCGAATCGGCAACACCTTCCATGGCATAGATTTTAGTGTGTGTACCGGGCAGAACCAATGACATCGCTACCCACCGTCATTGCATGTGTCACTGTACATTGCTGGACCCAATCGAGTGATGTCAGCATGACGTCATGATGACATAACCACCGCACCATCATTCCGTTAGTTTGCGTTCCTGGCGTCTGTTTTACATGATTGATTTCTTGCATATAGTTGTTTCCTTTCTTTTTGTTTTGTGTTCTAGTCCTTCATGACGGCACTTTGAATTGTATTTTTTTGCCTGTAAACAAGGTCTGGTATATCCTCTAGGCATTCCATGTTTCACTGTTCACCGCTGGTCAGCTGGTACCTGGTCCCTGTACCTCATCTGATGATGTCATAATGATGTCATCGTTGGCACTCATTGTTCTCTCATTGCTGTGTGGTGACTAGGTGACAAACCAGATGATCACAGCCTGCAAGAACTACCTGACCAACAATGGCTACGTGAAGGTGTGGGACCAAGAACACGACTCGCTTATTCAGAAGCTCACAGCTTGCATTGTGCTGAACCAAGAGTACCAGCGAAGTTTTCACCGTACGAAACAGCGCCTTGAGGAGCTGCCTGACGAGCGACCATTCGACTTCAGCGAAATGTCGATCTTCTCCAAATTTGACATATTCTGTCGGCGGTGAGTTAGGTCACAGTGGACGTAGCACTATTCTTTTTTTTGTATTTATTAGGAAATAGTATATTTTATATACATGAGAAGGATTTCCCAGAGGCTCTAGGTATGTCAATGGGATCTCCTACTGAGGTAAATTTCATGTGTTCTGGAAAGACTACAAGAGTACATCGAGAGAAACAAAAAGAGAAAAGTGTAAGACCTGAGTACAGAAATCGCCAGTCTTGTTGTGTCGCCTTGTTCAGCCGACACCGTGGCACAATGGGCCGGTCTAGACTGGGGTTGTCATGGGTGCCAGGGGCGTCGGATATGGCACGTTCTCTACGGTATTGACCGTGCCACTGTTTTGCCTTAGGTACCCCGTGAATCAATTATAAATTATAATTACACTGATTTGGGCCCTAAATTGCCAAATATTTTGCCCCAGCCACCCCTCCCCCACGGGTAGATTGTACTACCACGCTAAAATACCTTCCGACGCCCTTGCGTACAGAAAGTGGACACTGGTGAATAGGTGGTTGCACCTGTAGATCATTGGCTTCACAGAAATCTGGACCATGTAGTACGTGCTGGACAGGTCCCATTTCTTATAGATCGTAGACATGACGGAGAATTGTTTCAACGTGTACATTGCATGCATGTATATGTATGCGTGTATGTATGTGCGTGTGCATGTCTCCATGGATACATG